AATTCCTACTAGGAGGTGTTCTTCTTCCCCTCCAACAAATCGTGTTTATCCCCCTAAGGTAGCTACCATTTTCTCTGACAGAGTTTACAGCAGATCTAATAAGAAGAATAAAAGAGATGATTTGAATAAGGGTTTTGCCGCAGTTGATTTTTCGATTGATTATGACGAATTGGAAGTAACTTGGCAGGTTAGCCAAATGTTAGGTGTTAATTTTGAGGGGGGTAAGAAAGCTTTCGCTGAGAAATTTTCCGAGTCTAATTCGGTTAGGGGGGAGAAGGGTGGTTATTAACCCTTATATTTGGTTGAAGGTTTTTTATCTTTTTTTAATTATATTTTTATGGTTCGTGTCTCTTGTGTCACTTGGAATATTAGAGGTTTAGGTAGGATGGAAAAGGCTAGGGCAGTGAGGAAGGTGGTTGTTGATAAGAAACCGTCGTTTCTTTTTCTGCAAGAAACGAAATTGGAGGTGGTTTCTGTAGGTTTGAGGAGGAAGTTGGGGGGTAAATATCTAGGTGGGGTGCTGGATTCTCCGGCCGTGGGTGCATCAGGAGGATTGGTTACTTTTTGGGATGAGGATTGGTTTTTTCCTCATTTGGTGAAAATCTCACCAAGGTTTATAGCTTTGAAGGGTATAGTAAAGGATAACCAAGTGGTGTGTTGTTTTATTAATGTGTACGGACCCTCTGTTGAAGCAGATAAAGAGGCGTTTTTTGAGGAGTTATCCAGTTTTATTGCTACATTCGGGTGCCCTTTATGTGTAGCTGGAGATTTTAATGCTCATTTGTCACAGGAAGAAAAGTGGGGGAAAAATCTGTATGAAAATTCAATTGGGTGGTTCAGGGAGTTTTTGTTTCATTCAAGTTTGATGGATCTGCCTTTGGTGGGAGGAAGTTTTACTTGGGGTAACAACAGGGAAGATCCTACATTTGTGAGGTTGGATAGATTTTTAGTTTCTGCCGAATTCTTAGACTTATTCCCGGATGTTGTGCAGCTGTTATTACCTAAGTCAATTTCAGATCACAATGTTGTGGCATTGGATTCCAGTAAGATTAATTGGGGTCCGAAACCCTTTAAATTGTTCAATTACATCATGGAGGATGAGGGTTTTAAGGAAGCTGTGGAAAAGGAAATTTCACAAGCAAAGAGTAGGAAGAGGATAAACATTGAGGAGCTACTTAGAGTTATAAAGGTTGAAATCAGGAATTGGTCTAATGGAAGCAGATTGCAACTTCAAAGTTTGATTGACAGCAAAGAGAGACTAATTTCGAACCAAGAAGCTCTATTACAACAAAGGAATCCTTCCGTTTCTATGGTGGATGTTGCAAAAGAAAAAAGTGAATTATGGACATTATATAAAAAAGAAGAATTAGTTTGGTTCCAGAAATCAAGGGCGCAGTGGATTATGGATGGAGATAGAAATTCAAGGTATTTCCATCAATGTGCTACAAATAGAGGGAGGAGGAATGCTCTTAATTCTTTAAATGTGAGTGGAAATTTGATTGTGGATCTGATAAGGATAAAAGCTGCTATTTTTGAATTTTTCAAGAACGCTTACAATGCCATTCCGACGGTTGAAGTTGAGAAGTTGGAATTGACTTTTTCTAGACTTTCGGAGGATCAAGTTGCTCAATTAGACATGATTTTTTCGAAAGAGGAAGTTTGGGAAGCAGTTCTTTCTTCAGATAGCAATAAAGCTCCAGGTCCTGACGGATTGAACTTAGGTTTTTTCAAGAAATTTTGGCCGGTTTTGAAAGGTGACATTCTTAAGTTTTTTGAAGATTTTTACAAAGGGAAGAAGTTTGGGAAAGGTGTCAATCATTCCTTCATCACTCTAATTCCGAAGAACCAGATTCCAGTCTGCATTGAGGATTACAGACCAATCAGTTTGGTAGGAGGACTTTACAAAAATCTTGTCTAAAGTTTTGTCAAGAAGGTTAAGGCAGTGCATAGGGGGGTTAATTGGTCATTCTCAATTTGCTTTCATCCCGGGAAGGCAAATTTGTGACTGCTCCTTAATTGCTAATGAAGCAATCGATTTTTGGAGGAGGAAAGGAAGGGAAGGTCTTGTCTTCAAAGTGGATTTCAAGAGGGCCTACGACACTGTTGATTGGAATTTTTTAATCAAAATTATGGAGTGTATGGGGTTTAGTAGAAGATGGAGGTCGTGGATTCATAATTGCTTAAGTTCAACTTCTATTTCAGTTCTTGTCAATGGCTCTCCAACTGAAAGTTTTAACATATCTAGGGGGCTCAGACAAGGGTGTTCTCTATCCCCGCTTCTGTTTAATATAGTGGGTGAATTTCTGAATCTACTGCTGTCTAAAGCAGTAGCATTGGGGCTGTTTGAGGGCTTTCAATTAGGTTCTGATAATTCTTCGCCGATGCTGTCTCATCTACAATTTGCGGATGATTTGATTATTTTTTGTAAAGCTTCAAAGGGTCAATTGGCAAATCTGAAGAGGGTTTTGGTTGTTTTTGAGTTATGTACTGGGCTGCAGCTGAATTTGATGAAGAGCAGAATTTTTGGTATCAATTTACAAGACAACATTGTTGGGGAATGGGCAGATTCTATTGGTTGTTTAAGAGACTCCTTTTCGACAGACTACTTGGGGTTACCATTGGGTGCTAAGAGGAATTCAATTCAACTTTGGGATCCGATTGTAAATAAGTTTTACCAGAAATTAACAGGCTGGAAAATGTCTTCTTTATCAATAGCAGGAAGGACAGTCTTGATTAATTCAGTCTTGAATGCTTTGCCTAATTACTATATGTCACTTTTTAAAATGCCAGTGGTTGTGAGGAAGAAACTGGAATCTATTTTGGCCAACTTCTTGTGGGGTTCTTCGGCTGAGAAGAAAAGGCTTCATTGGGTTAATTGGAATACAGTCTGTAAAAATAAAGAGTTGGGGGGATTGGGAATTTCGGATCTAAAATTACGGAATAGAGCTTTATTGGGCAAGTGGGTTTGGAAGTTTGGTACAGAGAAGGACTCTTGGTGGAAGACATTGATTTGTTCTAAGTACAATGTGGGTTCGAGCTCTATTGTGGTAGATGATAATTTGCCCTCTAATGTGTCTTGGATTTGGAAAGGTGTTTTAAATAATTATTGGTCTAACGACTCATTTGGATTATGCTTTCGAAATAATCTCGTGCTTCAGGTGGGAAAAGGAGAATCTATCAGATTTTGGCTTGATTCTTGGATTTCTAATGTTTCCTTGAAGACTTTGTTTCCTAGGCTCTTTGCTCTGTCTGTTAATAAGGAAGGTGTTGTGGCTGATTTTGGGTGTTTGTCGAATGGGGAGTGGGTGTGGGATTTACAACTTAGGAGGAATTTAATGGATAGTGAGTTTGAGCATTGGATGGAACTGATGGTGTTGCTGGATAATTTTCGCCCGCTGTTGAAGGGTGAAGACCGTGTTGTATGGAAAGGCAGTGGGGATGGTGAGTTCTCGGTTAATTCTTGCTCAAGATTATTTTCAAGTTTAGCAGAATCTGACAATTCTTGGTTGGAGATTGTGTGGAAGGGCTTAGTCCCACCAAAGGTAGAGATTTTCCTGTGGCAAGTTATTCATCAGAAGATGGCTGTCAAAACTGTTTTATTGAGAAGAGGGGTTAAAGATATCGAAAACCCTCTTTGTGTGTTATGTGGAGAGGAACCAGAATCTGTCAGTCACTTATTCTTTTCCTGTGTCCAGGTTTGGCTAATTTGGATAAAACTACTCCGTTTGTGGAAAGTTATTTCAGTCTTTCCTAATAATCCGAAAGGCTTCTTGCTTTCATGGTTGCATCTTAGACCCTACTCGGATATTTGGAGATTTATTCCAGGAGCAGTTTTGTGGTCTGTTTGGCTGTGCCGGAATCAGATTGTTTTTGAGAATGGCAAGATGGACAAAGATAATTTGTTCTTTTTGGTGAGGTATAGGGTGGCATCATGGTTTTTAGCAAAAAATAAGGATTTGTCTATTCATTTGGACAGCCTTGTGGGAGATCTTACTTTGGCGGATAAGCATAAATCCCCCTCTAATTTTCGACTGTCAAGATTAAAATGGTGCCCTCCTCCTTCCGGGTACTTTAAGATGAATGTTGATAGGGCAGTCAATTTTGACTGGAAAAGGAGTGGTATTGGTGGAGTTCTTAAAGATGCTGGTAATAACAAGCTGGTTTCATTCTCTACAGCTTTAGGACCTTGTTCTCCTATTCTAGCTGAGATTTATGCGATCAAAGTGGGGTTAGATATGTTTTTTGATTCAGTTTGGAGGGACAAAGGAAATCTGATTTTAGAAAGTGACTCGTTTCTGGCAGTGAAATGGATCAACAGCCCGGATCTCTGCCCGGTTCACCTTGTTGATTTTATTACAGAAATTCAGAAGTCAGTTGGGCTTTATAATGTTGTTATTAGGCATATCAGCAGATGTATTAATGAGGAAGCTGATGGTCTAGCTAAGTCAGGAATTGGTTAGTGAGTGTGGAGGTTGTTTTTAGGAGCTGTGCTTTTGGCATTTTATTTTGGTTATGTTTCTTTGTTTAGGCAATCTTTTGTAATGTTTGGTAATCTTATGTAATTGTTGGTTATTAATCTACTAAGGCACTCTTTTCCTCCTTCCGCTACTTGTCTCCTTTAAAGAGACAACTATGAGGGAGGTTTTTAATGAGGCCTTCTATTCCTATAAAAAAAATGGGTATGAATATGTTCAAGAATTGATTTATAATTTTTATCACAAAAGGTGAGCCTCGCCTACGAAAGGAGCACCTCGCCTACGAAAGGCGCATGCCTTCGCCCTGCGCCTAGGCTCCAAGGACCTTTTGCGTCTCGGTGTGAACCAAGTTAGTGATTGCAAACATCCACCTTGTAAGGCTTTTTCTAGTTTGTTTATTTGTAATCTTTTTGAGAGAGATTCTTAAGATTTTGGATAGAAATTTTGAGGTATTTTTGTATAAGGTTAAACCTTGTCGTCAAAAGTTGAAAAGCATAGTGTAAGGCTAAAATGTAAGTAACTCACCCAAGGTTCCCCATTATCAGCCCTCCAGTAGGAAAGTCAGGTCCGGACATGTATTCCAACAATTCTTGCAACTGAGACAAGAAAATAAGAGAACTGGAAATCAAAATTATTAACAAAAGAGCCTCCATCAACAATAACGGTAATATAAGCTATTAGGATATTTTTTTTTTATATAAATTGCAGGCCTCATTAAAAAACCCCTTCTTGACTAATGGAACTTTTGAGAAAGTTCCTTAATCAGCGGAGGGAGGAAAAGAGTGCCTTAGGATTTTATTGCTCAAGAAACACAGTACATAAAAAACAACCAGCAGACAGACTAAACACCATAAAAATTACAGAACATTTAAAACGACCAGTCCGCCCCTACACAATAGCGAAACTACCACAGTAACTACCATATTGATGTGGATTATAGAATGTGTGCCTGTGAACGTATATATTTAAAGATCATGTATGCCTAAGGGGTACCAAAGTGTAACATATAGCAATCATAAGTACAAATAACTTGGTCACCTAGTGGCGCAAAAATATCAAGTTATGGAAATATTGGCCAACACACGTAAGCATAGTAGAGAACTAATGTCCAATCCTACTACCACAGTTCAACTGAAAAAACTTTTTCCAACTAAACAAAGGTATCAAACACTATAATACCATTAAAGTTGTCCACCTAAGTCTATTACAGACAACCTGCAAAAAATGTTTATCCCAATTTGACTTCACAAGGCCCAGTTAACCCATAATAAAGTTGTCAATTGCTTTGATGCGAAGACAAGACATCTAACATCTATGTAGAACCAAAAAAAAAATCTTTCATCCATCCTTTTCATAAACATTTTAATGTCTGTTGGGAAACAACCATTACTACATACAAATTGATTTTTCAAATAGCAGCCATACTCCATCATAACTGACAAACACAAAATAAAATTATTGGCCACAATATTTCAGGAACAACTACAAAGAACGCTACACAACATAATTCAAGATGCTACCACACACTAAATCTTATTAATTAATGTCATAAGAGGGTCAAGCCCAGAAATTTGTTCATCAAAACATATTGCAAAAGTAAAATTGAAACTAGATACAGCATTGTAAGCATTGGCAACACATATACTCAACAAACAAAGCCCTTTTCCCATTAAGAATAGAACAGAACCATCTTTAACAATTTTCTGAGCCAACCAAATTATAGTTCCTCAACTAACAACTAGACTCTTTAAGCTGACCAACAAAACTTGCTCAATAAGATATTTAACCTTCCTTCAGGCCTCCCAAGATGTTAATCAAACACATCATAATAGGATATTCTTACGAACAAATCCACCTCAAAATTCTTTTTATTGTAATTAATCAGTCAGCAAATGAAATTTCAATATGTAGAACAAAAACAATTTATGTATTTCTACCATTTCGGAGAGAGAAATTGAAACTCACTGAGGCCTCTGGATTATGAATTAATGCACAGAGCACATCTACCAACTCTCCAAGATTATGAGGAGGAATGTTAGTTGCCATGCCAACCTGAAATTGGTGAATCACTCAACTTTAATTGAACAATGTCAAAGTTACTATAACCAGTAGCTGCATTTGAGAAGATATAGGCATATATAAGCATGAATAAAAGGAAGAACCCACCGCAATCCCAGAGGAACCATTTAGCAACAATGTTGGTAGTCTAGCAGGCAATAGTGATGGTTCTTTATGTGAATTATCAAAGTTTGGAACAAAATCAACCTGCAATAAAATTAAAGATTGAAATTTCTAACAATAATGAAAAGTTTAGTATCCCAACTTCAAATGATAATAAGGGTTTAAAAAAGAAAAACTTGCCGTATCTTGATCCAGATCTGCTAGCAAAATTGCTTCTGCAAGTGCCTGCAAGGACAAAATTGAAGCAAATGAAAACAGTGTGCAAGACTTATGAAATCAAGAATATTGAATAAGCAATCCGGCATCCTTCGCTTCACACTTCTAGCAATAGAGTGCAATTAATCTTTAACACTCTTCCGATATATTACAAAGAAAGTAGGTCATAACTATTAACCACCCATTCTAGGTCGCAAATATTAGCGAGTTAAAAAAGCCAAATAATAGTATACTATAAGGCAGCAAATTCAAGATATGAGACTGATTACACGAGTATCAAATTCCAAGCAGCTTTATAAAGAAGCATTTCCTTGACTTCCGGTTCTTTTACTCTAATTTAATTCTAAAATAAACAAGACTCACTAAGACAGAAGAATCAAGCAAACACATAGGCTCAATTTGATTGACACTTCGCTTTCTTTTTTTCTTTTTTCTTTTTCTTTTTTTGGCTAGCAAAAAAGGGCAAAGCACCAATAAAACAGAGACTTTCCCAAAATTATGTTTAAGCAGAAATTTAAAGCATACCTCAAGTCTGCATTCAGTGTAACGCATAGCAGCAGGAGGATCTGCATCAACTGAACCAAAATTTCCATGTCCTTGGATTAGCGGGAACCTCAATGAAAAATCCTGGATGAAAGATAACAAACTGTTGAAACAAATCATGGCCAAAATCAAAAGACAGTTCATAGTTACCTGTGCCATCCGCACCATCGAATCATATACTGCACTATCTCCATGAGGATGGAACTTGCCGAGGACCTGAAACAGGGACGTAAGAAAAAGGAACAGCTAAGAAAAAAAGCAGATAATTCAAAAACAACTTGCTGAGCTGGAATGTACAAAGAAAGCACCCAGCAATTTCGTTTTAAAAACAAAAACTGCCAAATGCTTTACCTCTCCGACAACTCTAGCACATTTCTTGAATGGTTTTCTAGACGAAAGACCTAATTCATGCATTGCGTAGCTGTTTGTGAGGGAACCGAATGTCATGTTAGTGAATATAATTAAAATAAATAGACAAAATATAAAAGCAAACCAAAAGACACGCAGGATTCAACATAAAAAATGGACAACATCAGTTAAAAACGAGTACTAAGAACTAGATAGACACTGAAAAACTCCAAAAAAAATATTACTTACAGGATTCTCCTATGCACCGGCTTCAAACCATCCCTAACATCGGGTAAAGCCCGCCCATGCAACACGGATAATGCATAAGCCATATACGAGTCCATAGCCTCCTTGTGAAGCTCGAATGGAACCACCCGCCCATCACTGCCACCGGCGCTTCCGTCTTTGACAAAAGCCGTCATGCTTCCATTTCCAGCTCCACCGTCGTCTTCCTGTCCCGCACCGCGTTTCGCTTTGACAGGACGGACCACGGTGCGACGAGAAGGGGCGGATGAGAGGAATAGGAGGTGGGTGACATTAGGACGGAGAGCGGAGACACGAGAAGGGGCAAGGAAGAGGTTGTGGCGGAGGAAAGAAGAGAATCGGAGAGTGGAGGAGAGAGACATTGAAGGTGAGATTGAGAGAGGGAGAGATGAAGATAAGGATTTCATTCATGCCATTGAAAGCCAAGAATAAATTAGTGTGGGGTTTAAGGGGGAGCTTTTAAAAACCCTAGAAGAGAGATCACAAAACTTATCCTGGCGCCAATTCTTTTTGATTAATGATTTTTTTCACTATTTAAAATTAAATTATTTATTGTTTGAATTTAAAATTTTTGAGAGAATAACATTTTATTTTAACATTAAAAATCATTTGATGAGTTTTTAAATTATTTATATTTTACTATTATATATAGATGATATTAAAATAATTTATTCATTTATATAATAATAAAATTTAATAAGAAATAATTAAAAATTTGATTTGAATATTAATTTTATATAACAATTTACATAAATAACATTATTTGTTATGCAAAAATTCCAACATTTTATATAGTAATAATATTATCTTTATATATATATACAATAATTAAGTGATTTCAATGATTAAATTAATATTGGGTGTGTTTGGTTAACGGAATGTAAGATTACCAAGGAATGTAAGATTATCAGGGAATATTATTACTATGAATGTTGTTTTTTGTGTTTGGTTGATTTAGCAGGAATGTAAGATTACCGTGTTTTGTTAAAATAATAAAAGATTATTGAAATATATATTTGACCAAATTGTCCTTATTATATATTTGTTTTTAACAAGTTGAAAAATATTTATATATTTTCTTTAAAAAAAATAAATTCATAAAATTATATATATATATTACAAAATTGAAAATATACAAAGATTTAATGAAATAGTAAAATTTTATTTTAACCCCTGAACTTCATTTAAAATTTTAATTATAGACTTTTTTTTGTAAATCTTGTAGATGCTCGTTTTTGTCCGGGGTTAGATCGCTAAACTCGACCCCAAAATCCGTTGAAGGCCCGATTCAAGTCCAATGATCCAGTAGAGCAGCCTCTGTTCCACGTGAGAATTCCCTAAAATAAAAACGGTTATGGGGAGTTAACAAGCATGAATGAGAAGTTACCAATAAGATTGAGGTTTATAATCGTATGAGGAAACTGAAAAGAGGTTTGGTTTTTATTTGGGGGTAACCATATCGAGAGGACCACGAAAAAGGAGAGGAATTTTTTACACCATAACAGGGGGGACATCCATCAGTTATCGCGAGGACAGAACCAAAAATAACCAGGGGAACCACGCTTTATTGTCTTGTAATAGGGGTATTCTGAAACGGAAATGAAGGAGAAGGTTTCCAACAATTGCAAAAGGAGGTATTCTAAAACCTACGAAAACAGGGTGTAATAGGGGTCATTCCCTGTTTTTTTTTCAAAAGCAATAGCAAGTATTGAAGGCAATTTTCCTGCTCATTTTCCTTTTAGTGTGATATGGGGTGTGTTCATGGTTTGAAACAAAAAATAAACAAAGGTATGGATTTCCTTCAACAATTGCATGCAACCATATTTCCTTTTCCATTTATTACTTTCGAATCAAAGTAAAAGAGTAAATAGATTTGGATTTTTCGAGTTACCTTGTCAGTGGGTGTCAATACCGGAGCAAGCTTTGGGGTCTGAGGTTGAGGAGTCTCGTCGGCCGTAGAACTTAGGGGTCGTTGCTTGTAGGTTCCGGGGTCGATTCTTGGGTTGTAAGGGATGAGAGTGAGACGATAGGAATGGAGGAGATAGGGAGAGAAGAGAGCATAACGGTTGTTGGACGATAAATGAGGGCTAGGTTAGCTCCTTACCCAAAATACCAGATATATTTTATGGCCAAAACGGCGCCGTTTAGTGAGTGTTTAGGGATCCTGTTTTACGCGTGGTTATGTGCCGTTTGAGCCATTCAACTTTTTGGTTTCATGCATTTTGGTCCATAAATCATGTTTTCCTGTTTCCAATTTTGCATCTTTATTTTATGCGTTTTAATTTTCAGTCCCAAATATTATGTTATTTAGTTTTTGTTAATTTAGACATTTAACTTCTGAATTGTTGCATGTTCGTTTTAGTCACTAAATCACATTTTTCAAGTTTATAATTTTATCTTCATGTTTGTAAGTGTTTCTTTTTTTTAGTCATCTGTTTATATATTTTTTTTACTGTTTACGCATTTGGCTCGTAATTTTGGTTAATTGGCATTTTAGTCTTTAAATCTAATTTGTTGTGTTTTTAATTTAATCTTTGTATTTCATGCGCATTTAATTTAAGTCACAAATGTTGGTTATTTTGTTTTTGTGATTTAGACATTAGGGCTCCAAGTTTTTACATGTTACGTTTTAGTTCATGTTTAAGTTTCTTACGTGTATGTATGTGTGATTAGTTAGGGTTCGTTCCGGGTGTATACTTATCCTAGGTTTGAGTGATGATGATATGTGTGCATATGTTATTACGTGGTTCATAAGTATGGATTTAGGTGTAACATATATTTTTATTTAATTAATTTTTGCATGATATCATTTTTGCATAATTTACATGATAGCCTCACGTGCATAACTTGACTCTTATTACATAATTTAACTAAGGGTAATATCCTTTTAATTTAAAATTGTTGAAGTGGGCAGTCATAACTGATTTGAGGTCTACTTTTAATGATTTTAAAATAAAAGTGTATCCCGAAAGTGAAACAAAAAAATTGATTTGTCACCTAAAATTTGGGAACGAGAGATAAAGAAATGTTCGTTTATTTAAATATATCGAGAAAAGGTTGTTATATCTTTAAGATCTGGTCTCGATATTTGTAAATAATCAAACATTCTTTATCTTTCTAAAATGACTTGGTAATTTTAATTTAATTCGTTTGAGTGTTCTTGAATGTTTTAAATTTACATTTTTGTTTTATGGGATCAAAAGCCAAATTAAATTCAAATTTGTAAAGTTCATTGCAAAGACGTTAATTAATCGACTAGGTACCGATTTAGGGCGTCGTGAGGGTGCTAATCCTTCTCCATACGTAACCGACTCCCGAACTCGATTTTGGTAACGCATACCTCAATTTGTTGTTTTAATTAAAATTAATTTTTTATTTAAAATGACAACATTTTTGGGTGCCCAATCACACCCTAATTAAAGATTGGTGGCGACTCTTCAAACCGTATTTTTTGATCGTAAAGAAAATCTAAAAATTTTCGAAACGAGAGGTCTTTTAAATCGCATTTGTTTTTAAATTAAAAGAGAAATTAAGAATTAATGTGGTTTTCAAAATCTCACCTTTTAAGGAAAAAATCGTTTCGACAGCTTGGCGACTCTGCTGGGGACTTTTTTTTAGAGAGTCAGGCTGATAGTCGATTAATTAATTGTCTTTGAAATTGGAAATTACAAATTCGTTTTAATTTGGTTTTTGATCCCTTGCTTTGTTTTTAATAAGTTTTGTTTGTATTTTGATTTCTTTAATTTAATTCGATTGACAATTAAATAGTTGTACTGATCTGTTTGCTAATGATTTCAGAATAATTGTGTGTTTTGGGAATTGATTTTGAGTGTTTTTATTGATTGTTTTTTCCGCTTTTCCTCACACACTGCACAGTTGCATTATCATAACATGAGCTAAAACCTCGCTCCGTCCTATTTAAGTAGGAGTGAGAGACTATGCCCTCGTGTGGTTTTCACCTCCGCATGGGATAGTGGATCGCTCCTGGAGCTCACGCCTTATGGTCCTCGTGATGGTAATCACCTCCGCATGGACATAAGGAGGTGTGTTCCCTCGAAATTGAACTCGATCCCCTAAAGCCTATGATGGGCCAGAATTGAGGGTTCGGCATCCCAAGGGGGCACCGGCAAGGACAATTCGAGAACCTATTACTTTAGAACCAAACCCGGCATATAGTAAACATAGAGCCCGAACTTAGGTCGAGCCTAACCCGAACTTTAAGAGTCCCGTGAGGAGGGTACACAAGGAAAATCTTTTTGAGTCATTTATTTTCGTTTTTCGAATAAATGCATGCGAACTAGAAATCATGCGGTTAGGTTTATTTGTCAAGCAAGCATGTGAATTAGATATTATGCGGTTAGGATTTTAATGTTCAAACAAAGCTTGGGTTAGATATCATGTTGGGTAGGATCTACTAAAACATAATTAGGTTTTATTTAATGATTATGATATTTATTATCTTGTTGTTGATATTATGTGTACTAACTCATTCTTTTTTTTCTCTATGTCTATTTTATTTTATTTTGATTTTATTGCATTCGCATCTTCATATCATCACAAGGTGTTAATTCACAAGTGATTGACTAATAAGAAGGCTGGTCATACTGAAACAAGAAATTCTTAACCATGTAGTGAAAATCAGGAGGTTCAAAGATATTCAGATGATCCATGAAGAAGGACATCCGATGAATGAAGAAATCTGAAGCTGATTGAAGACTTCCTTTAAAGGAGTGAAGGCCAAGCTCAGAAGATAGATACAGTTATACCAAGGACAAGAAGACCCTTCACAAAGACATGAACATCACTTTGTATTGAAAGTAAAAATGGAGACCTCAAGATTCAATTTAAAGACATCTGACGTCATCAAAGGTGATAAAGTACGCCGACAACTTTGGGTGTAATATTAGATTCCATGAAGAGTACGACTCAAGGAAATGAAGAAATGAAGAATCACATTTATATTTTGACTACATGGTGTACTGAATTCTTGTTGTCTAAATGAAGGTTGTTCTATAGTGGTCACTTTTAGGATTAACACCTTGTGCATGTGCATTTGCATTTGCATTTGCATTCTTATTAGCATTAATATATTTATTTTGTTATTGTTGCTTTTTGTCATTTTGTTATCTCATTTGTACTAACTTGTTTCTATATTTTTTTTCTTTTTTTCTTCTTTTTTTTTCTTCTTTGTCCGCATTGCATGATCATGACATATTCAAAAGGTGTTGATTTGTGAGTGGTCATCATAGTAAAAGGTTTTCATGACGGACAAAGGGTTTCGTGATCAAGCAGGCTATAACATAGTCAAGAAGTGGCATCCTGTGAAAGCTTCGAGAATAGTGGAGGGTTATGTGCATAAAGATCATATGGCGCACAAAGAGCACAATGAGATAAGAGAGATAAAAGAGCAAATGTCCAAGATGATGGATAGAATAGATGTTTTGTCCAAAGGAAGAGAGACTTCTACAAAAGAAAAGAAAGAA